GAAACTTAGTTTCTAGTATGCCACGCATTCTCTTTGATATTGATCTTAAACAAGGAGGAGCTATTGATTATTAACTGTTGTACATATGCCATTAACATTGATAAATCATTTACTTTCTCAGGGTGACCTTATAATTATGAAGCGGTGCAAAACCCGACACTATCTTTAAAAAATTCGTAAAAAATTTGAGGTGAAGGATATTGCGACCAAAATTTGAGTACGGAGGTACATTGTGACGAGGAATCTACCACTGTTTGCCAAAAAATTCCATTCCGGCTGCTTTATCCAGAATCGCAAAAATATGGGGTAACCTTACAATTATGAAACGCACTGTATGGGTGCACTTATGATCAGTGTTGTGCTGTCTTTTGCTGCCTTAGAATACTATGATCAGTGACCGCATTTTTCAAAAAGCGGTAGCAATCCCAGCACTGAAGTTTTGAGATTCACGCATAGGCACGGATTCGAATCCCAGATCGATATCCACTCCGGCCAACCAAGCCTTCCATCCTTTCAGGGTCAGTTAGCTGGTACCAGACTCGCGTAGAAGGATAAAAAAGCGCTGACTTGCACATCAGCCAACGCAATTCATTGTATAGGCAACATACGCATTCAGTACGCCATTACGATTCTGAATGGAAGTCGAATGCGTAGGCGCATCCCTCATACGTTGTTGATTGACGCCACAAGACTTTATCCTTTGGACTTTATCCATGAATAATATCAACATCAATGCAATCGGAAACCTCTTCTCATCAATCCTGACTACGCTTACTAGGCTTTGCAGCAGTGCCCAAGGCTGCTGCAAAGCCCAAGAGGCGGGAAGGCGGGAACGTCTAGCTTCATACTTGCAGAAATAACGCGCTCTAAAGTGAGATTGCGACGTAACCGCAAGAGCTCTAAGTCAACTTTCAAGCTCTCGGCAATTACTTTCTTTCATAAATGCACTTGTTATCATTCCGTTCATATGGGATTGTGCTCAGTTCTGAAGAAATATAGTACGGGGGGAACAATCTGTGTAGTTTGTTTTTGTGGAACGTGAACTCGCTAAGGATTCCTTTCAAAAAAGCTGTACATAGAACATTTTCAATGTAATTTCCGCATATTTTGCTTGTAATAAGGGAATCACCAACTTGGAGTCGTTGCTCCCGTGCTAGTTTCACTTGAAGGTTCATTGTCTAAATGAATAATTTGTCAGAAGCTGACTTCGATGCATTCTAAGCAAATGCCTTCGGATTTCTGTGAACTTCATCTATTTGTTCCTTTTACTGTTTCATTCATTAGTTGGATCTCCATAGTCATTACCATTCTTTCAGGTGCTCGGAAGAATTGGAGTACCGGTTTTGGAGGGATGCGATTGACATGTAGACGGTCATTGCGGCAGTTTTGCAATTTTATTCGCAATAAGAAGTCCTATAATTTACGCTGCTTCTCAATTACCTGTATACTGGCCTGTCTACTTGTTTATACCATAGTAAGTTTAGTTGTCAGCTTTGCTCCAAGAAGCTTCTATGTACTTGTTTGTGATAAAAATAGCTTTCAGGTCTATGTTATCCTTTTTGATCGTACTGTGATCGATACACAGTATGTTAATGCTGTTGATGAATCAGTGCTAAATAATCGGTGAGGCTTTTGTCTGTTTTGTGCTGCTGGGAGCAAAATATCTCTGTGTAGCATTTTTCAAACGGGTAGAAAATCTGTGCGCAGAGCATTACTGTACCTGGGGAGGGAGGGGGGAGGGGATGACTGGAGATTAGGTACCCGCTTGTTTTTTCGTTTACTTTCTCATCTTATCAGACTCAAATGTCCGGCTGCGCCCTATTTTGTTGTGACGCATCACTGGGTTTTCTTGTTTTTTTTTTGCCCTACCAGGTGATGAACGTTGTTTAGCGTCGATTTTCACGAAGTCTCTATCGTTAGAAGCTGTTCCAACCTAACAAAGCGGTGCTATAGTGTACGTGACAGGAAGATGTTGTCTGAGTGAGTGTTTACAACTTTTCTTTCGACTTCCGGGGTGTCTGTACTAGTTCCTAGACTGTCGTTTTTTGCAATTTTTCGTGTTACTGAGTATGAATCGCCCATGAGTTTTCTGAGCTACTGTACATCATGACCACTTTTGAAAACAATGATAGGGATGGATTTCTATCACTGTGTTTTGTTGTTAGGGAATTGCATATTTCAGCATCAGCGAACTCTTGCTCCATAAGTACACCTTTGATAGATTAGTAAAATATTTGCGTGATTCTATTCGATTCCTCACTCCGAACTTGTGTCGATTCTCGGGCGTTTCATATATCCCACTGCTTCAGCATCACGATCGTATCTTGTTTCTATGAACACCTGCATATCAACAGGCTTTTCTTGTCTTCATATACAACATTGTAAACTCAATACTTGATTTCTCCTCATATGCACTAACAATGAAGCATGGAATACTTCAATTTTCTTCATATTTCTCCATGCTGTTGCATTTTTGGTCATTTTCTCTAGTGTTTAGTGGTGGAGAAGAGATAGTCGAACGACATTTGCTTGTAGATGGGTTCGCAGATGATAGCGATACTGTTGTCAGGCTCATTCCTCCCAATGGTAGTGACTTCTTCATAAAATTTAGAAACTGACTCGTTTTTCTTCAAAGTTGCAATTATTAAAATTCGGCCTTTTTTAAGGAGAAACTTTCGACACATCAGATACTAGGATATGGGTCGTAGACCACTCAACGATACGTTCCGAATATGTACGCCTTCTTATTTTGTTATTTCTCCTTTACAAGCAAACATTTCTTTCTATTCTTATATCACTCTTTTATCGGGGTCCTGATTCCTCTCTTAAATCTAGGTTGCTGCAATGTTGGTGGCTCCATTTCTGGTGACGTCACTTTCCCTCGATTCGAAGGACAGCGGGAAAAATGTTCTAGGAATTGGACTTGGTGGAGGAAGTTTCGACATGGCGCTGCATAAAATGAAGCGTGAGGTGATTTTTCTCACTCAGTCGACATTATGCTGACCTTGAATGTGCATGATACCAATATCAGGCAAGCTGCTTAATTTGATAGCGCTTGTGATGTTATACAACTGAATCTAACGAAGACTATGTTAATGAAAGCTGGTTTTTTATGCCCCCTTTACGCCACGGGTAATCTGTTGTACCGAGAAGTAAAAGGTGATAGACGACACAAATCCCTTGCTCAGTAAAATGAAGTGAGTGATATGGTGCGCGTTTAATTATAGTTCAAAATAACATCATCTCCAGCGCCCAACTTTTTGGTAATTTTGTCGGTAATCGTAGATCAGGTAGACCAGGCCATCATGCGTCTTTGTGATAACCACCGAAAAGCAGCCCCCAGTCAAGCTTTCTTCGAAAACTCCGAACGGAAGTACTGGTTGCTTCGTGACCCAACCACAGGTTCCACTGGACTGCATTGGGTCGCGTCAGGCCCCCCCCCCCCCCCCTCGCTCTTGATGATCAAATGGTTCAAATTCCTTTTTGACACTTGCATTTTTATGATAAGAAACCCCAGGAAAACTCTTTTGAATTTCATTTAGATACTAATTCTATGCGGAAACAGCGAGCCGAGCTGCAAAATGATATGCTTCATGAGTTGGGAGAACTTCCACTAACTCTTTTTCAACTCTGGATTTTCCAGAAGGTAGCTATTTCTGGTAGTTCAGGTGAATATCACAATTGTGGAATTGGATCCTGTAGTGGTGGATATCGCTCAGTCGTGGTTTGGAGTGATGGAATCGAAAAACCACCACGTAATTGTTGATGATGGTCTGAAGTTTGTAGAGAAGGCTTCTAAATCAGGTAAAACTTCAGGAGTGTTTCATAATGCTTCCTTGTAGTCAGTTCTTCCGAAAGTGGGGTTTTAGTGGACTATTCGTTTGTCAACACATTTTAATCCACTTAGATTTCTTTTTAACTCAGGAGTCAAGTTCGACGTGATCGTGTTGGATGCCTGTGATGAAGCCATAAAATCTCCGTGCCCACCAGCAACGTTCCGAAACAAGAATGTTATAGAAATGATGAAGGGTGTTCTAACACCTACAGGTGTGTTGAGTTGTTGAAGGATGGAGAGGTTGATTTTAATTGGCTGCGAATGGGGACAAATGGGTACGAATGAGCAGCACAATGGATCGCTCTCAGCTCTTTTCCCTTTCGATCGTAGTGCATTGATGTTAGTCGTCACAAAACATATTTTGCTCTCATTTTGGTTGGAAAAAGGTAACCTCCATCATACAATGTCCATTTAATCTAATTTTATCAGGCAGTCTGCTTGTCAACATACTCAGTGAGGACGGGGATGGAGTTCCTTCTAGTGTACCGGAGGTTAGCGGTTTATTGAATCATCAGATCGCTTTTCTTGCAAAAAAAAATCATTGTAGATAGTTTCTCTCTTCGCCTCCGTATTTCCTGCATGTATTCAAATGAAGATGGTTGGAGAGGTAAGGTGATTTTTGAGGATTTGAAGAATATTTCTACTGATTGTTCAGTTTTTTCAAGGTGAACGTCATACTTACGTGTGTTCCATATTCAATCTCCAATATTCGGCAGCAGCTTAACTTCTACAATAGCCGATTGGCAACGATCGCAGAGAAGTTCAAGTTTGCTAAACTGTTAGAGAGGGTTTCTCTTGTTTAATAACCTTACGTTTTTTCCTCCTACCGCGAAGGTACCTCATCAGCGCGACCTTCTTTTTTATTTTCAGTTATTTTCAACTTCTAGTATTATAGAAGAGGGTTAGCATAGTTAGGAAGCTGGATTATTGAGAGTCGCGGAAGCTTTTCGTTTTGTGAATTGTCATTCTTTTCGAGAGCTTCATCTAATGTTGTTTTCGCTTGATTGTTGCTTGTATTATTAATTTACTCCTTCCCTTAGATGTCTGATAGAATTTGTGCTCATTTATTTTTTACGAGGTGTTTAAGTGATATTGTATTTTTGAGCAAGCCAAAATATTGACGATGCACGAAAGGCTGGATTCACCTGGTGGCGCTCTTGAAAAATCGCAGCGGTATACCGGTTGGTAAAGGTAAAGTGTGAGTCTAGGGCTGAGATTCCCGAAAGCGTTCCCGTTATAGTTCTAGTGCTTAGTAGGTTGGCCAATTATTCCGTGGCTCTTCTACCAAAGATTAACTCAATGTTCTAGCACTTCTGCGGTTTTGGGTAGAAATGTCGAGGCTCTAAATGAAGTAATGGTGAAAAGCCGTGTAAGATTTGACTGCTTAATAATCGCCCAATCCCACTGTGCCTGCACCTTGAATTCTCCCATTTGAGTCTCATACTAAGCACGCAAATCTAGGAGGTACAGTTAATTGTTGGATTTTTGGCTTAACTGAAGCCTTCTGCCTGCAACGTATTGGGTGATCGTCAATATTTTCGGCTTCTTCGCATCCCTTCCAAAATTCAAAAGGTACGGGTCTATTTAGGTGCTTCCTTCGAATTCCTTCTTAGGCAAACTTCTAGATGCATAATTGAATTGTACTATATAATAGTTACACCGTTGATACGAAATTCTTTTAGTCATTATTTCGCCTTTCGAGCTTCCAATGCCTATTTCCTTGTGAGCTGTTATTTAGAAATGAATATTTTGTTTATTTATTGTATGGTGTCGATAACATGTTCGAATTCAGTACGGCAATATTGATCGTACTACAGACTTTCAAAGGCTTTGTTTGGTTAGTTCGTGAGAAGCAGATCATAGGGTGCACATAACTAGGTAAAATACACGATATACTGTTGAATTTCCGCTAGCTTGAAGCGATTGGTTACCCTCGAGTGGTTGCAATAACTAAATTGAGGACCTTATATCTTATTTCCAGAATGGATTCTGGCCATGCTTCCTATGAATGTCTGTATATTCTTGTTGTGCTTTTCTACCTCTGGAACCTCTCTATTGTGATTAGCAGTTCTGAATTCCCTTGAAAATAATCTCTATTGGTTTTATCATCTTCGAAGGAAAGAAACCACGTGCCCTAGTAGCAATATACACTATACACCAGGAGGCGGAGTCTGGTCCTGTCAGCCACCATAAGTGTTCCCATCCTGTCACCTGTGCTCCTACAAAATTTGAACGCTCTAGTTCCACTGGGACAGGATTTATGAGTTTCCGCTCGAACCCCGCCTCTCCCGTGGGCGGAGTCTGGTCCCGCCACCCTCCATGAGTGTTCTCGTCCTGTCACCTGTGTTATTACAAAATTTGAACGTCACTATTTATCCTTTACTGCCCCACTTTGCAGAGAATGGGCTGGATTTCAATCGAATTTTTTTCAAGAAGATGAAACCTACTAGAAACTTGCCCAGAGAGGTAATTTGACCCGTAGAACACGAATAACGCATCCATACGTCATGAAAATGCCTGGCGCTCGCGCTAGAGGCGCCAGTGCTAAATGGAGCTAGGTCACGAATCTTGCTCAAAACTTAGGGTAGCGGGGCGCCAGGCACTTTCATGACGGATGGGATCTCCCCAGTTCGATCTAGCTCACCAATGCACACCTCTGGCCACCTTTAAAGCACAGTTTTGANCCTACTAGAAACTTGCCCAGAGAGGTAATTTGACCCGTAGAACACGAATAACGCATCCATACGTCATGAAAACGCCTGGCGCTCGCGCTAGAGGCGCCAGTGCTAAATGGAGCTAGGTCACGAATCTTGCTGAAAACTCCCCCTAAGTATGCAGTACGGAGTCTCATGACAAATGGATGCGATATTCGTGTTCCACGGGTCGAATTACCCCTCTAGGCAAGTTTCCAGTCGGTTTCATCTTCTTGAAAAACCAGGCACTTTCATGACGGATGGGATCTCCCCAGTTCGATCTAGCTCACCAATGCACACCTCTGGCCACCTTTAAAGCACAGTTTTGAAACCATCTTATGACTGAATTTGAAATCATGGTCCTCAGTACAGCTCATTTCGATGTACGCCACGCCCACTGTGGGCGGGGCTCCGCCAACCTGATGTGTGCTTCATACTTTTCTAGACATGGACCACCCATCCCACGCTTGACCCGGTCTCTCCAGGCAGATTTAAACGAGCTAAGGAATTTCGTGACAGACATACACACAGAACAACAGACAGAACGACAGACGAAGCGCTTTATAGTAAGTAGGGTGGGGATGCGCTATGTACACTATTACACTAATACAGAACAGAGGGAACTATGGATATTACACTGGTTAATTATCCAATAGTTCCCTCTAATTTGGCGAGTTACCGATCCAGAATTTAGTTTACCAGCCACCACGCTACCTTACGACGTCGATGTGACTCTTGTCCTAGGAACACACCCAGAGGCCAATGGACAACATAAAAGCCTGCTGTGGGAGCAGAGTTTTGCCCCAGGTTTTGTGGGGGTTCTAATCTTATGTGAAGTTTTGGTCACTTTGCTTGTGCCCTCCCCATTCAATTTTGAGTGCTCACTGTTTCCTCTCTGTCTGTCGCGAGACGCGCTGTCGTAAAATTTGGTATTTCTTGAAGAATTATCTAGAAGTCTTGTCAAGTTCGGGATGGTTGGGGATAGAGCAGCTGAGCCAACTTGAGTCTTCAATGAATCTTTTGAAACTTTTCGAAAGCACAGAAGCTGTGCAAGAATTCTTGTAGGTTGTTTGAGTGACCGTCGCTATGGAAGTTTCTGCGCATCGATCCATCATCGAGAAGTTGCTCAGAGAATTTTTCAAATGTTGTGACATCGCGAAACGACTCGGTGTTTCCTCTTTATCCATTCGAAATGTCTCTGCTGTTCTTGGTGCTCGAGGACAAGCCTCTGAGATGCCAAAAAGTGGACAACCGAGAACAGTGAACACACTGAGGATTCGTACCATCATTAGGAAGAGGATCACCCGCAACGATGGAATCAGCATGAGTCGGATTGCTTCTGACCTCAACATCAGCCGTTAAAAGTGAAGTAAATTGTGAAATGTGACCCCAAGCTGAACGGCTATTGGCACTGTTAAGGACAGTTATTTCGGAGCAATCCAAACAAAGTCAGCAGATAAAATGCAAATGCTTCTTTGAGAGCTCAGGCCGCGCCGCATCTCTGACGTGATCTGGAGTGACGAGAAAATTTTCAATATAAAACCTTTTCAAATCGTTAAAACCAGAGAGAGTTATTGATTAAAGTTGGCGACGTTTCCACAAAACATCATCTCATGCAGAACTGACCATCCCTCGAAAGTATGATTATTTGAGCTGGGTGACATCAGAATCCAAAGCAATACTAGTCTTCACCGACAAAAATCGGAAAATCGACTCCGAGGTCGACCAATCACGACTTTCAACGTTTTATGGACACCTAGTTGATCTAGATCAGTGAGCACTTCGGTGACCGTTCGTTCGTCCATCAACAAAATTGGACCCATTCGCATGCCTCGAAATCGGCGGAAGCCGTACCTGTTGCCTATTTCTCTCCAGGTACTGGGGGAATGACATCTGACCTCCCTCTCGCCGGACCTCAAGCTAATGGACTTCACTGTGTGGGGATTTCGAAGGGCCAAATCCCAGGACGCTCCTACTGCTTGTTGGACGCTCTGGCGTTGA